GCTTCAAGGTGGAAACACTCCAGAGTCCCTTAAACCATCAGAAAAACAAGAATAAATTAAATGATATCATGCTTTTGATTTGATGGCCGTTCTAGACTTGACCTTTTGGACTCGTAAACTCTGATAACTACTTTGTGATAGTGGATCTTATTAATAAGAGCGGTTATGTTTTATTTCCCACTCTTGACTCCAGCTTATTGATTTGAGGAGTCTGTTATTTTACCTAAATTTCCTTTAAAAAAGTCAGCAAGCCTGTTTAAACAGACGACTCAAGTCAATAATCGGTGTTTTTTCCTGCAGTCTTAAGTCAGAGGGATCCACTTAACTCCGGTTTACGGTCAGTGGCGCCCCCTGCTGGCGGCTTTAAGGCCTGACACTGATCCACATCAGTTCTTTTTGTGTTCATAAAGAAACAGGAAATGGATGCTGCTCTTCTCTGGATGCTGCGGCCTTTTGCTCTGCTACCCTATATGATGCACATGCTGTTTTGGTCTCAATGCTTTCTCTGTATTTATGTTTTTTTCTTTCTTTTTTTTTACTTACTCTGTTCACAATTTCCCTTCTTCTCCCTCCTGTCATCAGACTGCATATTAAAGCTCAACGGCAATAAATAAATCACCAATAGCGGCTTTAAAGGTAAAAAAAAAAAGTCGACTGGACACAATTCTGATGCTAAGTATCTCAAAACTGATGGTGAAAGCAGCACGGTTGATTTTAAATTGGGATAAGTAGATGATCCCTCTTTAAAATCCCACTTTATTAGCTGCATTGTGCAGAGAAACTAGCTGGAAATGGACCACCAAGCAGGGAAAACATCACAAGCCTCACATTACAGGCAAGTATTTACTATTTGATGAATCACACTAATGATATTAAGGTTTTTTTAGTTTTTTCTTTTGGTTTAAACGTACGTTAATTCAGTTGAATTGCTCCCATAATCATAATATTACACATTTAAATGTAGGACTTGATTAAAATAATGAGGGCTGCTCTACTGGACCGTCCAAAGTTGGTTGTTTTGTGTAATCGTGTTTGCGTTGGAGGCCATTGATCCCCTTCAGCTGAAGATTAACAGCAGACATTGATCTTTTTTTTTTTAAATGAGCATCAATCTAAATCACCAGACTGAAAAATGGCTGATTCATTTGACCTGTAAACAACCATCAGCATCACAGAAAAGCGTTAATATCCAGAGGTTTTGACTTAAAATTTTCACAGCTCAAAGGATCCACAGATCTATGTGAAGAGGTCAAAGGTCAGGAAGCTTCTCTTGATTTAGTCTCTGTTGCTTTGATTTAGACTTATCATCCTTTATAGGGTTCCTCTGTTCTTTAAAGTACCTCCTGCTTTCTTAAAGAGCAGAACAGGAAACCGGAACCGGGTGAGAACTGAGAACTTCACGAATGAAATCCTGGGATGCTAAAAAAAACTTCGTCTGTTCCCAATAATCCCACAAACAAGGATTTTGAACCGTTGCTCTTTAGCTTGTCCTTGTCAGGGTAATGATTCACTATTGACTCATGCCTTATTTGTCCTCCTGACATGCTAAAAGGAGCCCAACAATTTACCAGGAGGGACCTCTGTGTGAGTTGACTATGGGCTGCCATTACAAGGGGCTCAACATGGACCTTTTCAAAGCAACGCTCCTAATAGGAGCCTTCATCAGCACCGGTAAGATGATTTACATCCATAAACATTCGCCTACTGGGAAATATACAAAAAGAAAGGTTCTTCACGGTTCATCTTGTTCTCCTGAAAGTTTCTTTTTTTGTTTTTTTTTGTTTTGTGTACTTTTTACAATCCAACACACTTTTATTATGCAACCAAGTGACTTGAAAAGTGATCGGATATGAATGTAACAGAGTGAGCATATTCAATATTCAATAAGCATTTGCGTTCACACTCTCACTATTACTAACGTAGGCCTCTACAATTTCCTCCCCGTTATCCCCAGGTTATTCAGATTAGTTTAATAGAGAAATGATTAACCTAGCACATTTACCCATCACAGGCCCGTCAAACCTTTAATCGTCAACTCCTAGAACTTTAAAATAGCATCGATTTACTGTACATGTACAAGAATTATACTAAAAGTGCTGAAAATAATTCATCTTCAAATAATCCCTGAAAGTTTCTGCTTTCTCGCTCGCATTTGGCACAAAAATGCAGAAACCTCTCACTCTTGTAACTGTAAAGCCTAAAAATTAGTTAAAATCGCCTTCAAAAAATGTAATTCTGCTATTATTTATTGACCAAAAACGAAGATTAGGAGGTGGGAAAATCTAATCAAAATGATGTTTATTGATCATCAGTCAGTCCAGACTCCAACCCAGTTTCTGAAGAGTTTTATTCTCCTGTCTTCTCCTATTTTACGTATGAGTTTGACCCACTTTTTAGTAACCAACCACCTGACATTGTTTCCATTTAAGTTCAGTTTGAAAAACAGCAAATTAATGCAGAATTAGCCTCTGGTCACTCATCTTTAATAGTGATGGATATTTTCTGATGGGGAAAAATGAGGAACTCTATTTTTTTCTATGTTTGAACATTGTTTTCTGGGCTAAAACCCTAAAGTCCAGCTAATTGTTTGTCTTTCCATACCTGCTGTCCCATTTAAAAGGATGACAGGTGACCAGTTGTGTAATTGAGCTTTACAAACAGACGTCAAAACACACTCTTGATCAGTGTTTTTTTGTTCACTTTTTAAATCAAATTCAGAATATTTACCCACATCTGGTTCTAAATCTGAAGACTAGCCCCAAAACTGAGCTGTTTTCTGTTATTTCTGTTATCTGATGCTCACAGAAGGAAAAGATTTCCTTTATTTTGATTTATTATTGCGTAGTCTTTTCCTGCTGGTTCAAACACAACCAAAAATAAAGCACAATAATCATAAAGCATTTACTATGTTGATTAACAGTTATCTTTAAAATGAAGAGATATAATTAAGTTGAATATTTCCTTGTTTTTTTTGTTTTTTTTTTACCAGTATGAGGGTATAAAGAGGTTTTTGTTTTTGATTTCAGTTCTGAGTGGCTGGTTATTCAGTGTTGTTGTGATTTTTTGTGTTTAAGTTGTTTCAAAAGTGGTTTGATCATTCACCAGTTAGTATTTGCTTTGTAATGGACTCAGTAGTGAGCGGCCGGAATAACAAACAGCACAATGTACAAATAAAGTATAACACTGGCTTATCAATTATAAACACATATTCTAAAAACACATGACAACAGAATTTGACAAAGTTTTAATTAAATCAACTGAATGAGAATACTTTAATGAGTCAGACAGACACTAAAATTGTATAATTCA